ATATCATTAATAAATTATTATTTTATTTAAAAAATACTAAATACAATTTAATTTTCTAAGCAAATTTGTCTAGAATATAGTTTAAGGAATAAGATAAATCATTTATTATTATTATAAAGTATAATATGTAATTAATAATATATATTATTTAAAATAAAGACATATTAGCATTATTTTATTTTAATATAAATATAAAGTCTCTTTTAGCAAATGTGTTTTTTTTAGTAGAATGTAATACTGATGACTATAAAAAAGCAAATGCATCTCTCTTGTTAGAATGTAATTCTAACGACTATAAAGAAACTTCATTTGATGATGCTTTTTATTAACTTAGAACAATCATCAATTATTAAATAGCCTAATGAAGTTTATTGTGAATTTATAAAGATAGTTCATAAGCATTAACTATCCAATTTTGCTGGTAATGCTATTATAAACTTTTTCAATAAATTTTCTAACTTGAATACTTTATCATTACTTTTATTAATTAAAATTGAAAAAGAACTTTTAGATAATTCTATAATCTTTTATATAAAGTTCAAAGAAATTCTAATTATAATATTTCAAAATATTGTATAAAGGTGTAACAACTTAGTGAAGTGGATAAGTTGTCATACTTCCAAGTGGTAGGTTGTGAGTTCAAAACCTACTAACAGTGAAATTTGGATAATCATCTATGTAATATATAGATAGTATTATAGTAATAACATTTTGTTGATCAGTTGGAATAGGATATCTGTAACTATAGTCACACCAGCATGATTGGCAAGTTTGAGACATTTGTGTAACCTTGGTTATACAGAAGAATGCAAACTAGTACCAGGTAGTGCAAATCTAAAATAAGTCCTTGAGCTATGTAAATCTTAGAACTGAAAAGCCAAAGCTCATTTGGAAATTCTAAGCAGAGAGGTAATACAGATCTTCAATAGTACTACTATAAAGACTAGACCTAGAAAATGAATATCAATATAAAGGAATCAAGCAAACAAGAACCTTGAGTAAGAAGTATCACCAACCAGATCACTAGATTTTAAATCAGAGAAAAAAGATATTAGACTAGCCTTAATATACTAAAGACAGATTATAGTTTTTCTAGACTATCTGGATTGAAAGTCTGAGGTTAAAGCAAAAATATACTAAAAGTACTAAGGATATACTGTAAAGTCAGTATCAGAGTTTGGATGAACTTTGTAAAGGTAGCTCTTGTCAATGTTCTAAAAATAAGTAAATAGTTAACAATAGAGGGCTCTCTGCATCTTACTGGCAGATAATATATTTTGAAATATGTAACAGCCTAGGAACTAGTACAAAAAAAATAGGTACTATACTGCTCAGACAGTATACTAGTTAGGTATATATAGGAGGTAAGTTGGGATTATATTATGACAGAGTGGATGATCAAAGGGTTTAAATAAATAACCTGCTAATAAGTTATAGATACAGCATCTAGTATAAAACCTTAGAATGAACTATTTAAATAGGTAATCAAAAGTTGCATATGTGACTAGTTGTACTCTCATCTTTGTAAAAATAGTTGTAATAGCTAACCTAATAAAAAGTTAATAAAATATCACCACAAATATAGCCTTTATAAAAAAAAATAAATAAATTATGAATTAATATATTTGTATCCTTAAGGTACATTAAAATTTTTTATACCCAGTATTTTTGTAGCACAAATTCGGTAAGTATTACTCAATAGTAATAGGGAGAACCATCGATGTTACATGACTGCTTCTTCACCCAGTGTGCAATATATAAAAAAATCATTTTACAATACCAGATCATTTCACTAGTACATGTTATGATTATAATCCCACACCATTTTATTATAGTAAAAATGGTGTGGGATTATAATCATAACATGTACTAGCGGAATGATCTGATATTGTAAAATGATTTTTTTATATGTTGCACATCGGGTGAAGAAGCAGTCATGTAACATCGATGGTTCCTCCTGTTCTCAATAGTATGATCATATGTGTCGGAGATTAAATCATGCATAGAAAATAAAATAAATGTGTAGTAAACAAATGACGTTATGATATCATTTTTCCCATAGTATAAATAGAAGAAAAGCAATAGGTTTCTTGATTTCTTTCTCATACCAAACCTATACAAGGGCGAAAAGTGTTAAGAAAAAAAGGTTACTTACCCACACACACTCTGATTTTAAAAGCCTCACTAGGTTTGTTATTATGTGAAGGTCATTTATAACTAGTCTTTAGGTGCATTTTATCTAAATCACATTGGTTATAATTAGAAGGAAAGCAAAATTAAAAAATGGTTTTTCTTGCAAGAGATGTATAACAAACACGAAATGTGTTAAAATTACTCACCTACGTGCACATCGGTCTTGAAAGCCTGCATTGATTAGTAAAGGTTGTTTATAATTTAGACAATGCAATATTTTAGTTTAACCTTAAACCTATTTTTTAGGTGTGTTTTCTTTAAATCATACCGGTTTATTCAAAAAACACCAAAATGGAAAGTAATGACAACTCGGAAACTCTTGGAGAGCAGTCTTTAAGTGTTGCAGTATAGTAAGTTGGATTTTTTTTTTTTTGATTTTGGCCTTGATTTATGTAATTTCTTTGACTAATATAAAATTAAATTAAAGTAAGCAGAACTCGGTTGAAATTGTGCATCCTCCAGTGGTTGGTCAAATTTTTGGCAGTTGGGAAGAATTAGATCGTTTTGTGTCTCTCTATGCAAAGTCCCAGAATTTTGTTTGTATTACTCGTGGGTCAAAGTATGATAATGGAGTTTGCCGAAGCCGCCACTATGCCTGTGAGCATCAAGGTCATAAAGCTATAAATAAAAAGACTAATATAGCTGAAAATCAACAGGAAACGTGAAGTAAACGTACAGGGTGTTGGTGGCAAGTTCATGCTAGTTGTTCTAAAACAACGAGTGAATTAAGTATCAGTTCTATTTGTTTGAATCATAATGACCATCCATTAAAGAATAAAGCCAATAAGTTTGCTGTAAAATATCATGTATTTACTGAAGAGATGTTAGATGATATTAAGTTTTGGACAGAAACCGGTAACATTAATATGAGAACTCAGTATCAAATGTTGGTAAAGTGATATCCCGATGCTTTTTTTTTATCTCAAGATCTTTCAAATGCTATTCAAACCTTCAAGCAACAAAATCATGTTGAATGTGAGGCTGCCGTTTTACTTAATTATCTTCTTGAATGTAAAGCCGAAGATGTTAGATGGGTTGTAAATTGGAAGGTTGATCCTACAAACAATTCTCTTGTATCTCTGTTTTGAATGTCACCTGATCAGCATGATTTATATATTCGCTATCGAGACGTTATTCAACATAATAATACCTATTCAACAAATTGGTTTAAAATGGCTTTAGGTTTTTTCATAATAGTAGATAACAATAATCAGTCCAAATTGGTAGGGCAAGCTCTTATGAATGACGAAACAGTTGAAAGCTATGAATGGGTTTTAAAAACTTTAGTTACGGATA